GGTACAGCTATTTTAAGGTAATTGCCATAAGCTGAAAATGTAAATCATGCCTCGATTGAGGCTATTCCAAGTGTAGGTTCTATCCGATAGGTCAAAAGCTTCTGTTCCACAAGCTGGTTTACATGATAATTTAAACTGAGTGAGGTCTTGGCCTCTAGTTTTGAATTAAGTCCAGCTGATATAATAGGAGTTTCCTAGCTTGTTTGTTCAGGGTAACTGATAGATCTAAAGAAACATCGTATGTTCTGATTGTGACCTCAGAGTAAATAGAATAAAATGTGCGGAAGATGGCTCATATTTGGAAAGTATACTGTGCACCTGGAGTGAGATGGTTGATCTGTTCTCTCAATTGTGAGACGTTTGTGGTATTATTGAGAAGACAGTTGGAAAAAGATTGGGGACAAGAGATTTCGAATATGGCAATTTCATAGTCTAAGTTATTCCAAACAGGAGTGACAGAAGACTCAATTTTTGTTGATGCACTGAATTTTTCCGGTACGGGAACTGAATATTTTGTTACACTGTTAGTGATTGAGATTGACTGATAGCTTCCGATGACAGCCTTCAACACGAGCTCATACTCAGTGTTGGGACTTAATTTCTGAGCTGTGTAACTGTGAGTGACAAGAATATTGTCGATTTCTACAGATTCTGAAAGGAGATATGTGAGCACAAATTTAAACGAGTCTACCTAACTGTAATCCCACGTTACGGTCAGAGAAATTTTATTACACTAGAAAATTTAAATTTGCAGGAGCAGTAACTTCAGTAGAGCTACATTGAGACAGAAGAATTTGATCCATTTCAACACCGAAAAGCGCCACCGCGAAAAACAGGTTGCATGGTTCCATCATCAAACTTTTCATTTAATTCTTTCAGTGAAAACTTTTTTGAAACATGCACAACCTTTCATTTTTTGCAAGCAAAAAATTCAATCGAATTGGCTCAACGGCTAATGAGTTTAAGGGAAGGAAATGGTTAAAAGCAGACCTTTATACTTATTAAAGCTGTCAAGAGATAAAAAACCAGGGTTGCAATTGATCGATAATTTATATGAGGCGGGGTGAGAATGGCAAGGGAGGGTTAAGGGAGGGATTCTACCCCCTCACTACCCAAAGGACTCCTTCTTTTGATTTATTTCATGACGTTATTTTTCGTCCAACAACCCTTAAACTTTTCTAGAAGCGCCTTTGACGCCAGAATAAGTTAAAAAGCGATCCCTTCTCAAGAAATTTCTACATCCGCCCCTGGATAAGTATGTCAATTTTGAAAAATGACGAAAGAATGATGTCCTCTGTAGCAGTGAAAGCAGACAAAGGATCGTGCCATTTTTTAAATTATGATAAACATTCTTGGAACAGGTGGCCGGATGGGTTCAGTTTTGAAAACTAGGATGAATGAGCCTTAAGATCCCAATGTTTTAAAGGACCTGAATGAGCCTTCAAATAAATTTTCCACATCAGTGTTTCTTTTTTTAATCACGCCTCAAACTTTAAATAAAAACAACTGCAAAAACTGAGCTAATTTTATTCATCAATTTTATGAGAAATAGCTCCTTCAATTTTGGCAAAACACTAAAACACCGTTCTATTTTTTCTGTTTTTAAAACGAGTGCTACATTTGTGTTGAAAATTTGACAGTGTTCGACATGAACAAATAGACAAAGATCCTTAAGATTTAGTAGAATGAGTAGAAACGACAATTAGGCAGCTATGATGTTCGAGTAAGTCTCCTGAATGTTTTTTTTGTGATATTTAGGCAGAATAGCCCCAACATTGTCTTACTATTCCATGAAACGAGAAAAATGAGTCCAATTGCTTATTGGCTGAAAAATCTTTGCTTTAACTTTTTCAGTGTTATCAAGGAAATCTCTTGCTCTAAACTTGGGCTCTTTTTTTAAAACTTTTTTTGCAAATAGTAGAGTCAGTGTAACATAGAAATTTTACGGTATGGTATTAATATTTAAGCGAATCAAAACCGATAATTTATCTTCGAAACTTTACGGTGTTAGTATCGAAATTTTACAATCTAGTATTAAAGTTTCAGGGTTTAGCGTAGATACTTGAAATATTAGCTTCAAAGTTTTACGGTGTAGTATCAAAATTTTAGAGCAAAGTATCTAAATTACACGTTGCAGTATCAAAATTCTACGTAGTAGTATCAAAAAACCTAATGTGTAGTTTGTTTCACGGCGTAATATCGAACATTCACTGTGTAGCATCGAAATTTTACGGTCTAGTATCGAAATTTCAGGGTGTAGCAAAGATACTTGGCAATTTAGTATCGAAAATTTACGGTGTAGTATCAAAATTTTAGAAGATCTAAATTTCACGTTGCAGTATCGAAACTCTTCGATGTAGTATCGAAATTAAACAACGTAGGTTCAAAAAATTAGTGTGTTGTTTGTTTCACGGTGTACTATTGAATATTCACTGAATAGTATCGAAATTTTACGCCCTAGTATTACAATTTTACATAGTTTATTTCACGATTCGGTATCGAAATTTCGCTGTGTAGTATTAAAAATTTACGGATTAATTCTAACCACTGAACAGCTTGAAGCTAATTAGTGATCGAAATATTTACGATTTTTTTAATTCGAAAAAAGTCTTGAATAGCTCAATTCTAAGGTGCATGGGTGATTCTCTACGCAATTTACTTGAATGACTTTTCTTTTGGTTGAGAATCTCAGGATTAGTAGTGGTTTCCGAAAAAAATGTTTTAAATGTCGAAAAAAATCAAATTTTCAAAAACTCGACCATCCGATTGTCCATAGCGGTTCTTCTGCTAAATAAGACAAGGAAGGCCACCCAATTACAAGTAAGACACGTTAAAAAACTTTTCGGTCAGACATGTATTAACCGAATTGACAGAAGGGTTTGTGAAGGTATGAACAAAATTTCAAAAAACTCACCTTTTCAAAAATTTGATTTTCCGCAAGTCCACAACAGGAAATAAGATTTTTCCAGACTAATTAATTGATTAAACACTTGATTTTTCCCAAATTCAAGACAATTTTTCTATGAACCTAAAAAAATTAGGTCTTAGCCAAGTGTGCAAATAAGATTCATACAACCCGATCATTCGATTGAAACTTCAATCTCAAAATTAGGAGCTCTGGTTTTATGAATAAATTTTGCATTTCAAAAAATTGCCATATATTTTGAGTTGGAAAATTTCTGAAATGGAGTTTTTAGTATTGTACTGTTGTTTGAAACCAAAATGCTTTTTTGGTTCATCTGATAAATCAAAAATGCATCAACTGGGTTCATTTATGACTAATCGATTGTCGAAGCACATGCTATCAAAAAGCCGTAAGGTGCCCCAAAAGTGTGGCATCAATATTTGCGACTAAGGTTTTAAAAAAAGAATAATCCTACTATTTCACTAAACTCGATTGTGTAATAAGAAACAATTATCGGGATATAGCTAAAATAGATTTAAAAAAATTGCCGCCTAAACTTATAGCTACGGAATATGTTAAAAACGAAGGGGTTATAGCTTGCTTTGAAAACAGAACTCTCAAGATTAAATTTTCACGAACAAAATAACACTTTCAATAAATAACACCTTGCATAAATTGCACTTTCAAGCTGATGCTTGCATCTGTTTTCTACTATCAACCAGTTTCTCAACATACTGACTGTACATCATATTTAGCTTATTATGCCATTCTATTGCCTCCTTTCTCAGTTTCGCCGACTCTCCTTTCCGTTTCATATTAGCCAGAACTGACAGCTGGGCTCTGTAGAGTTTAGTGTCTGCAAACATTACTCGTGGGCTCTTCTGATATGGTTCTAGTCTTTCTTCGTAGCTCTCTTCCTCAATTGATTCTAACTCTGACTCGAGTAGTGAGCAGCTCACTTGGCAACTGAGGAAAAGGTAGCCGTGTTTGAGGTACAATTTGGCCAGTTGCCAGTCTTCTTTCCACTCCTGGAAATCATGAAAATTGGAAATATGTCTAATTTTTGTTCGAGCTAGAGTCATGAGACTCTTTTGTCAACTTCAATCAACTATACTTTCGCGTGAGTTTTTAGAAAAGAATAAAATCAGAGATACATTTTTGTCCCCTTCGAATTGCAATTGGATTTACGTGATTTACTTCATGGATGAAAAACTGTTGAGCCATTGAGAAGCTATTGCTTTGTAGAAAGATCATCAATGGCAACTTTAGTTCACAGCATAAATACCTTTATCTTTTGGAGCAGCCACGTGAACACGATGCTTCTCTTGTTCAGCTGTGAAGTGAGTACGACAAAGTAGTACTTCTTAGTCTGTACTATGTCATCACTCGCTCTCTCCAGGTGATCCTTCAGGAGAAACATCACTGAAAAAAGAACAATACTTCATTAGTCTACAATAAGAAATTCAGTGATTTATTCAGAAAAACAAACGATTTTCTCGTATCGGTTTAAAATTGTAATTCATGGACCAAGAGGAACAATGTTAACCAGAGTCGACAACTTTATACAAATACTGATGAGCTACAAAGATATTAATACAACAAGACTGCTCGTTTCAGGGCGAAGCCCTGAATGTTCCGACTGCCTTTTAACGTTTAAGGAGCAGTAATAACCTATAAAAATAAAATGAAATAATATAAAATGAAATTTTTTTTTAAATTTGAAATTTTTTAAACGAAAATCATCCCCCCACACGCCATATAAAGTACAAAAGGATAGATTTCGCTCCTTGTAACAAATCAATTATGGTAAATAAGCTTCTTCCAACCAATTTGGAACAATTTCTAAGACGGATTAAACCTCCGCCTACGCGTTAACAGCGCGAAATATATCGCGTGTTAATTTCCCAAATTGGCAATCTTTAAACCCCCATAACTTTACGAAAAATGATCACAGGTGAAATATCTTTTCAAATTTAAGCTCAGGACAACAATACTTTTTGAATGATATAAAAAAATTCCGTTTAAAATGGCTAGTTAAAAAGTCTAAATTTGTCTGAAGAAAAAAAACCCACCCCGAGCACAAATATTCCGTTACTTTCGTATCGAAAGTCGGAACAATAATATTTAGGAGAAGCCGAATTTCAAAAACAGTTCTTAATTAAATCATTCTGCTTCAATGATTCACCAGTCGCCTCTACCGATTTCCCTTCGCTTTGAGGCTTCCATTACAATTTGTGAAAATGAACATCTACGTACACTTGAAATGTTCTTCCATGGTGAGATATGCCTCTTCGGGGAGTGAGTTTTGTTGCAACCAGTGGTTTGCGCAGTTCACGTGTTCATTATTGCTACTAGTCCTGTAATAGTCACAGTAGAAGTCGGTCATCTTTTGGAACACCGGAGACAAATCCAACTTACACGTCTGGCCAAATCTCATCGCATCATTGAACAGACCTGAATATTTAAATCAAATTTACAACCTTGAACATGAGCAGGATATACAGTTAGCATGGACTATCTCAACCCCAGCTTCCAAGCATGTCATTAAAAAAAATTTAAAAAAATATAGAAAAAAAGCACTCATTCAAAATTATTCTCATCAATAATATATACATCTAACTTTCCGAATTTCGAGAGCGGATACTACTTAATAATTTCACGGCAACGATTATTATCGAACGTGTACTTTCCGTCGTATGTAAATAGCTCGTAATTTTTCGCGAATTCTTTACTAATTTGAACCGAAAGTACTCAATCATACTTACCATATTCAGCGGCCTTCACCATCAAGTCCTCTTTGCTCATTGTGCGACCATTCAATATTACTTCAGAATCCAGCTGTCGGTTGTCTAGAGAGAGCAGTTTGTGTTGAATGGATGCGACCATTCTGTACTGGGAGATGTCCTTCAGCTTCAAAACAGTCACACCACCGTGCTGCTCTTGTTCATCTAAATGCAATTTATACAATAACCCTCCATTGTCTTGATATGAAAACACAGCGAACAGAAATATCGGCGAAGATAAACTGAACGTACTAAACATCAATACTTTCCGAAAATTTGTTAAAAGTATCCGAAAGAATATTTATTATCTCAAAGATAGGCAAGCATAGCAAAGAGACTGTTAGAGAAGTGTAGACAAACTAAAAGAAAAACACCGGCTGATTGCTTTCCATTTTTATTCTTGAGTTTAATGAAACAAATTGCATCATCTTGAAGCTCCTTGAACTCAATTAATCCTTTAAAATTAACATTCCCCAAATTTGAGAAAAATGAATCAAAACGATATTCATTCTGCTGGAGAATAAAATTAAAACCCAATTTTTAAACACTTTCAATGATTTTTTTTTGCTCCATTTGCACTATTGTTCTTGGAGTGTCATGATTTGAAGAAGTGTCAATGTCAGATAGATTACTTTGAAAATTCTTTCAACTTCCGAGTTTCAAAGAAACAATTTCAATATCATTTTAAAACTCACTCTGTGAATTTTAACAATGGTTTATAATTTTGAAATTTTTGATTCAACCAAATCAATTTGCGAACACCGAAACAAAGCTTTTTTCTTTCGGTGGAAAATCTAAAAATCAATATCCACTTTTGAAATAAGTCATTCATGTTTTTGCGCCATTTGCACTTTCGTCAAAGGACTGCATGTTGTTCGCAAAATTAGCTCACTTGGCCGATAAAACTTAGGCCAAAACCAATTAGGTCAAATAAAGTTTGAGGTAAAAAAAAGAACATACAAAGTCAGGTTTGATAAACTTACAAATTACAGAAGAAATTAAAAACACTTGGAATTTGTATGAAAATTGCTGCTTGCAGTATACAAAAAAAACTGTGATGTGGCTAAACCGATGACACATAATCAGATCAACATTAAGTTGAAAATTTTTTGAAACGGAATATATTCAGTTTGAAAAAAAACAGGTCCTGGCCGGATTCGAGCCTAAGACCTTGCTGTGCCACGCGCGGTCGTTAATATCTAGCCAAAGTGTGCCGGAGACATCAAAAGCTGTTAATTTTTTTTTAAATTGCTAACACTAGCTAGAACACGACAAAAAGCAGCTCTATAAAGTGCAAAAAGAAAAAGTAGAAATAAGCCTCAAATTAGTAAAAATTCGCCTACGTCTCGGATTCGATCTTCGACCTACAGCTACCTGGAGAATATGAGTCTCAAGCACTAAGCACTCAGCCAAAGATGCTTAATCAATCGCAAACACTAGCCAAAAATGAAGCAGAAAACAGATGCTGCGAAATTTCCAATGCTACAGATCGTGATTATCGCAAAATCACAAAAAAGTACTTCGCTCATTTACACTTAACGAATAACTTAATGGGTTTGCGTAGATCAAGATTTGGAGAAAACCAAGTGAACTAATCTGACGTCCTCAATTCTGCTGGAAAATTGCATTAACTAAACAAGGATAGCCTGTGACTGTGCAAGTAGCACAAAGTGTTCCGACAATGGTCTTACAAAAATACAAACAAGTTTTTTTTTCATATTAGCGTCGTTTGTTCTGCGTGGCATGATAAAAAAGATCTTAACGAAAACATAGAACAAACGCATATTCGACAGTCAAAGTAAAATAGCTCAAATGAAAAACACTTTTTGTAGAAAAAACCTAGAAAAACGAAGAAAAAAAATTTCTGATTACCAAAATGGCGCTAAAACTCCAAAAACTAATTATACATAAGTAAAAATAAGTTTTCACGGCTTAAATTAAGCATATATAAGCTATTGTAAGCCTGCACGCTCGCCTTACTAGCTCGAAATTTTTTGTTCTAAATTTTTTAATTTCGTTCGAATAACGACTGAAAGGGCTTTAATATGATATCAACCCTGTCCCCTGTCAAATTGTCGTACCTGATTTTTCGAGGAAAAAAGAAAAAAAAACACCAGAATACAAAGTTCCTCTCCATTTTCAATGGTTGGAACAATAAAAAATATTCACCCTCAGATGCATTATGCGCTTTGGTGAACTTGGGCATGAGCACCATTTGGTCCTTCTCTTCACATAGCATCAGACACATTTCAGAATCCTGCCACGCCTTGTACTCCTCTTTGTGAATCAGTTTGCCCAATTGCAACCGCTCCTCCTCTGTCGCACCTGCACTTGCATGCAGCTCAGCCTGGATTCGAACCGCCTTCTCCAACATCACAATAGCTGCAGTGCGGCACCTGGAATCGAGAAAACATTCGTACGTTTAATTAGCCGATATCCGTCTTGCCACGGCCAAAAATCGGTCGACAAAACGTTATAGAAATAAGACTTTAGAATGGGAAAAAGTTAATAGTCCTAAATACTCCCAATTAGCCCGCATATTAATCGACTTTTAATTATTATCGTCAAAAAGTGAATTCCGAAAAACAAACAAATGAATCCAATTAACTAACCAAGTTAAATGAGCGCAAAAATCAAACAGCTATTATTTAAATACCTTGACAACAAAACACTGTGCTGGTCCGGGTTAATCAAATCCTCGTTCAAAAGAAACTTACATGTTTCTGTTGGTATAGAACTTTTTCAGACAGTTGTAGAACGGAACAGGGCAAAGAGGCGAACTTAACCTCGCTTTCTGCTCCAAAACTGCAATCAACTCATCACAAAAAAGCACACAGCTGAATTCTGACAGCTCAACCTTTTCAACTTCTTTCGCTTTTTCCGAACTTTCCACATGCGTCTCACAAATAGCTTGCACCCAGCATTTCAGACAGTCTTTGAATCTATCAAAATCTCTCGAACTTTCCGGCAATCTTTGGACATATTTCCATATGTCACACAGTGAATCGTAGCAGTCTGCAAGCAGATTTACTTCCCAAAGACAATTGAACTTGATCATACTTAGAGATAATTTATCCCCTTTATTTAAGTCTGGACAGTCCGATATAATTTGAATCAGTTCCAAACACGCTGCAAAACTTTTACTCTGCTCAAAAACAGTCAAAACATGCATCTTCACGTCAATCTCAGTCGCCATATTTTTCAACCGAATCAACATCGCTAAACCAATTTCATCGTTTACAAGCAAACGTTTACCGATTTCCAGCGCTTCTTCTGTTTCGCCAAGGGTATGATAACTCAACATTTTCAAATAATGAATTAGCCCTTTAGACGCTTCTTGTCCCGAAGTCAAGGACAATTCTAGAAAGTTGCTCATATCTAAAACTAACTTGGGTTGGGTTTCAACCATAGACGAAGCTGTATCTTTCAATAAGAGGTGTTTAGCTATGGCGCTAAGAGCTGAAGCGTTGGTGGAAACATTCAACTGGTCCAAAAGCTTAACTGATACTTCTTGAACAATCTGAGTTTCGTCCAGTGTTTTGCTACCAGCATTTTTAAATTCGAGCAATGATGATAAAATGATGTCCGAGTTAGCTTCCACAAAGTCAGACAGGAAAGTTACTTTGGTCAGTTTCGACTCTGTTCCTCCAAACACACTCGGAGCTGGGCTTTTAGAAGGTACATGGCTCCGTTCGTCCAGCTCCAAAGCACCCTTACCCATGAAAATTGTATCGTCCACTCCTGAAAATAAGTGATGCGGGTTAACAGTCGGAGTCGTGATTTCATTTCTGCTACTGGTTCCAACTGCACGACTCAAAGTTTCATTGGCTGTTTCAACATCATGAATTTCAGTTTCGTGCAGCCAATGAAGAAATAACCAGGAGTGGAGGTATTTGCATACAGTTAAAAATGACCTCGTCACAATGGGCAAATAACTGTACTCTTTAGACAAACAAGCTAACGCCATTGCAATAGGACACAACATTGATAACGTATTGTTGATCACAACGCCACAATTCTGAGAAATAAGAGTTCTGAGAATTTTCTTGGACGCTACAAAATTCATTGGAGCACTGCTTGCGTCTAAACTTGTATTGATGAGCGATGAACCAACATGATCCTCCATAAGACTAGAGGTCAGAACATCAGTCAAAAATTCCATTAATAAGGGAAGAATTTTACACAGAGATTCTGTGTCAGCGTGATTCAGCATTCTTCTCAACAATTTCTTGTCGCACGGCGTTAAGACTTCTTCAAAACTATCGAAACAGTTTTTTACTACTTGTCTGATTTTCAAACCATTTTCATTCATTAAACAATTCACTTTCAAAAAGTTTTGAACGTCACATTCAGTTGACATTTTCTCGAAAAACTCGATCAATTTCGAGAATCGTGCCGTCGATTCTGAAGTGACATTGAAAGCTGAAGTGTCGGTCACTTCTGCATTACAATGATCTCGCATCACCTCCGCTAAAATCTCCGATGCGGGGATTTCAAATGGACTTATCGGCATTACATAAGCCAATTGATCTTGCGACACGGTGCCTATGAATGACTTCGGTACATTGTATAGCAGGCCGACGACTTTGTTTCGTTCGGCGCAGTTGTGTTCGCACAGCATTGAGTAAAAAAGCTGCCAGTGTTCGATGAGAGTTTTCCGGTGTTCTTCGTTTTCTGGGTCGTACTGCGGAAGATTAGATTGTACTTCACTCTCAACACTGTCCACGATTAATTCTAAACATTACGGAGATTCAAATCATTGAGCTCAAAAAATAGGGAACAGGGAGCATCATTTAAGTACAGAAACAAAGTTGTACTTTGGAAACAACCAAAATTAAATAAAAACTTGAACGACCTCAACTAATGAAGGAATTTAGAAATTATTTAATGCCCCGCACGCGTGATACTACAAAATGATTTCTTTCCCGCCTAGTAATACATTAATAATTTCCTGACCCAACTTCAATTCAAAATGATTTCTGAGCCGGATTCATTTGCCGCCTAAATTTATTTGTAATTTTGAGCTCGGGACATTATAATCCAGGTTCAAATAGCAATGAGTATATGGTTCGAATAGCAATGAGTAGAAGGTTCAAAAATTAGTCGAGATAAGAAAAACAAATGCACTTAAGAACAATGGGATAACCGGTTACTGTGCAAGTAGCACAGAATGTTCCGACCATAGTCTTCAAAAGAATACGAAATTTTTTTTTTCACATTAGTGTAGTTTTTTTCCGAGTGGTGTGATATCTGACGTAAAATTATAATTTAGGCATATTTGAGTCATAATAATATAGGCAAAAAGGACAACAGTTTTTGAAGAAAAAGGACTAGATGAACAAAAAAAAATTTTTTTTGTAGAACTTTTTTTAAAAATGACATTAAAAATCTTCAAAGACTAATTTTAGTCGAGTAAAATTAAAAATAAGCATAAATAAGCGTGCTCACTCGCTCGAGTTTAGACGAAAAATCAAAAATTTCAAACCGGTTTTTCTCGACAGGTATAACTTTTTTGAAAATTTTAAATGTCCGATGATTATTTGTGGTAGCAAATAATCATTATTTGTGGTAGCCGTTTTTCTCCAATGATTATTTGTGATGCCTGATTTTGTGTGAAAATAAAATAAAATAAAACTAAAACACATCCGAATACAAAGTTCCTCCCCATTTTTCAAATGGTCGAAACAATAATGCACGCAGATGCGAAGCTTCGTTCGCAAACACAAGCGACAACACGACAAAAAGCAGCTCTATAAAATGCAATAAAAAAATCTTAAGTAAGCCTCGAATTAGAAAAAAAAGAGTCGAGTTAGAGTCGCACGAAGCACTCAGCCAGGGACGATTGATAGGCACCAAACACTAGCCACAAATAAAGCCAAGAACAGATGCTTTGCAATTTCCAATAAGTGAACACTTTCAATGAACACTTTTATTTGCTAGTTAGGTTAGAAAAAAGAAGGTTCCTAATAAAAACACTTAGCTGATCGCTAGTAAAAAAAATATCACTGGACAAACTTGAGACGTAATATTAGACAGATATTTATTAAGCAAAAGGAAAAATTCCTATTCCCTATGCGGCGATCAAGGCTTGGTTCAAGCCTTACAGTTCGGGCCTGATCACTATTTCCGTTCAATATTAATATCAGTCTATTTCGGCTATGAACACGCAGATTCAAAGACTTTGGGTCGTTCCTCAATGACCCAAAGACTCTCTGAAGACATCAAACATAATATTATGCAAAAACATCCTTGCTTATCATAGATTTCGGACAATTGTCGTTAACCCGAATGTTTTTTCTAAGGTAACATATTCCGAAAATATTGAGACTGTTTTACCATTTACTAGTTGAAAGGCTGTGGAAAGCTTCCATCCATACTGATTATCGACGAATTATGTCTTTGCTCAAAAATTTAGATATTTAAACGTACGCTTGTGATCGTAGAGAATACCATGGCAGACTTGATTAATTGTTTGTAAATTAATTGCAAACAGATATCTCCGCTCTGAAGAATTTTAAAATTCAAATGAGCCCTTTTCGAATCCTAAATCAATATCAAAGTGAAGACGGACTTAAACTATATACATTGAAACATATCATGCCAAGCAGTCTTTGACTTACGTTTCAACTGCAGTCTCGTCTTCGCCAACTCCATATCATCGACAGACTGTTCATTCTGCCTCTCTCTCATTTGAATAGTCACAGCCAACAACGCCGCCGTTGAGAACATACCACAACTCATTACGTAATTCACATACACAGCTGAAGGATCCTGGTCATCTTCTACCATTGGAAGAGAATCATGAGGAGTGGACGATGAGAGTACCTTCATCCACTTTGAAGAACTGGCATCGAAAGATACATAGTCGAATCTGCGTATGGAGTGAGTTCCACTCCCTGGGTTGGTCCACAGGGCATAGATGCTTTCTGAGTCAAAGCAGAAATCAACCAAGTTCTCATCTGCAGTGGTCGGACTTAGTTCGCACTTGATAGCTCTCAGTGGCGTGCAACTGAAGTTCGGACCATTTTCCGCAGATAGCCTAAAAAGCATTACCATTCATGAAGTTTTTGTGATTGTGGGCATCAGGATTCTGAGATCGCTAATTCAAACCGCTAATAACAAAAAATGCCTATTTTGAAGGCCGCTAAAACACTTAATTATTATAGAATGAAGTAAAAAAAGAAATGATTTAAGAAATAAGAATGAAATTTCGAAAAAAACGGCCATTTAAAATACAAACAAGCTCAAAAGCACCATGTTTCCGGACATTCTATTCTGTTGCAAAAATGACACTAACTGATTTTGTTAAACTAGTTGTTAATCAGAAAAAAAGACTCCTCGGTTCTCTAACAAGCTGAACAACCGACAACACTAGTCACGAATAAAGCAGCTACAAATGCAAACAAACTGCCAATGTGATTCAGCAAAAAAGGAACCAAATACAAATAGACTCAATTTTGCAAGAATTAATTTGGAATATAACAAACTAAAGGCATCCAGACTAATTTTGCATGTAACAAATCGCAAAGCATAAAGCCACATTATAACTAAATTATGCATTTCAAAATAGCAAGATATATGGAGTTAGAAAATTTCTGAAATCGAGTTTTTATTATTTGATGTTGTGTGAAACGAATAGCCTTTTTTTCGGTTCATTTAATGAATTAAAAATGCATCAACTGTGTTAATTTATTACTATTCGAATGTAAACGCACATGCCATCAAAAAGTGGTAAAGGTGCCACAAAAGTGGCACCAATACTTGCGACTAAGGTTAAAAAAAAAAGGTTCGTACTAATACACTAGCATCGCAAGTGTAATCACAAGCAATTTTTCCTGGTTAATTTTTTGGGCTGTGTAATGTTGTCTTGATGCAAAGCAACAAGCACGGACTATGTTGGGCATCGAACCAACGTTCTTGCGACCGAGAGGTTTAGCCACTTCACTATCAGTAATGTGGGATATTATGGCAAGAAACGCGTCGCACAAACGAGCTAAATCAAAAATTCCTTGTTAAAACATTGGCTCCTCACATTGGACATTGATTTATCCCTCCACACGGCCAGGAGAAACTTTCGGATCCGTCCGTATTTTTCAACGAAAACTCCAAACTTCAATGCCATCAATAATAGCATAAAAAAACTATATCATAATTGGCCATTACCTGATAATCAGGAAAACTCTCAAGTATTCATACTGCAAGTACACAATGGCCTCCTCAGAAACAGCAGCGCCACTGCCACTTTCAGTCTTAATCTTGATCCTGTTGCAACACTTCACTTGCGGGACCATCAGTCCACTCTCCTCCATCACAAACTCAGCCAAGTCCACTTCATACACCTGGTTCAGACCCATTAACGAAACTATGTGTAACTTACTCAGTCGGTCCACTCCAAAAATGTAGTGATTATTCATTGCGTTTGCAATAACCACTGAATGCAAAGTTTGATTCGCCTTCTTTGAAAACATATTCAGCAATCCCGAATTACCGTAATACTTCGTAGTCATTGAAGCTTTCCCGTCTTTTTCCATTAACACTTTAACCAGCACGTCTCCTTCGCAGCTGATTACAAACGACGATTTCAACGAGCTGTGATGCCAAAATGCTGCACTTAGAACTTTAGATCCGGCTCCAGTTCCCGACAATTTTTCCATAAAAGAGTAAGAATGAACTTCTGAGCCCTCATTTGTCAGGTATCCGGATGGCAGTCTTGAAAGTCTTCGATTAGAGTTTTCAAGTTTCTTCAAGAGTAGTCTATGAACTGACTTGTTAGTAGCGAGTAATATCACTATATTGCAATCGAATTCTCGCACGAACACTTGTGGTAGGATAGACTCGTTAGGAAAGACATACTGCTTGGCAGAAGAGACACATCGGCTGGTGAAGCCCTCTTCTCTTAGAGTTATAGTGTCGTTTTGGACCTTCCAAGTCATAAATATGCTTTCCCTTCCAGCCTGCCACAGACTGATACCTCCGGCTGCATTGCTGTAAAATAAAACAAAATCAATTTTACTGGAGGAGTAAGAAAAATAAGGCGAGCACAAAACGAAGATCAATGCCTGTTTCAAATAGGTTTCAAATATCTGTTTCAAATATCAGCACCAATAAAAATGAAGCTGAAAAATAGACAAGTTGAAGGAAGACCAAAAGAAAAAGCGCTGGTTCGAACATCACCAAATTGACAAGACACGTCTTTGATATCGATGCCTAGGGACCCATCTGTCAATTTTTAAAAGGACAAAGTAAATGACAACATACGCGCTGTGCAGCTGTTTTCTGCCAAGTAAGACTTTTTAATGCATTTTTGCTTATTTTTTTGGTTGACCCCTATACACGCGAGAGCTAGAGACTTGGCGGCTTGCCGGTAATTTTTCTAATTAAAGCACCAGTTAACATACCCATAGACATCCTTGTCCAGAGACACTCCGCCAGAACCAGTTCCGACCACTGTCTTCCGAATGCCAGCAGCACCACTGCCGTGGGAGTCCAAGTCCTCGATCACCACCTCCTTGCCAAAGTATCCACTACCGCTCATCATACTCATGTCGCTATCACATCTGAAATTGCAATAATACAAGCATCTATCAACTTAACAATGGGAAAGAAGAGTGCAATAGCACGAGATTAAACTCAAAGCATTTCTAAGGTCCATAAGAATTTTTAACTGAGCAACGCTTTCAAACAACTATTCTCGGTAACAGTTTTGATAAGACTTTTCAGCTGCAAATCTGTATTCCTATAGAAAAAACTAGCATATACATCAAATTTAAATTGTATTTTCTATCTAAAATGCTTTAGTCTACAATCAACACGGTTCAAACAATTGACGGAAGTTAAAGATGAGCACTGCATGATCAATGGTTGAAATACAGATGAAGATTCAAGAATTTAATGGCCTTTCTCACAAATACAAGATCTGAGCGTTATATTACTAAGCAACGCCTAAGTACTCTACTGCAGTAGAAATTCTTCAAGACAACTAGACGAAAGATTTAGTTTATCATACCAGTTGTCTGATAGATAAGAGCAACTATGGCATGCATTTTTTAATCCTAGAATATATTCCCTTCGATTTTTTGAATATGATAGTTTTTAAATACGAGCATTTGTCAAATTTCTAAGAAACAACCAAAAGAACTCCTGACGTCCCAGGCCAAAAATTAGAAATGTTCAAGGTAATAACGTCACCATTTGGGCCTCAGAAATTAGCTGGAATACCTTAACATAAAATTAGCTGGGTGACTCAAGCACCTCAAGCTTCCAAATCCTTCGCAACAAACAATACGCTACTAAGCGGTAATCAAGGTGGGAAAAGTTGAAGTCTCAATAATCTCCAGAAAGCCTAAGTTATATTATCTTAAGGCTCTCGGATTTAAGCCATCTTTTCAGATTTACACCCGATAAAACTGGTGACAGGACAAAGAATCCCATACAAAAGTTTCCCATTACAAAATATCCCAATGGACACAATAGCCCATACCAAAATAGCCCACGTCAATTTAAAGGTGTCAGGACTATTTGTCCCAAGTCAATTGGCCCTATGCCAGCCAACTTGTCCTATACTAACTTGCCCTACATGGCAACTTGTCCTATGCCAACTTGCCCCACATGACATTTTGTCCTATGCCGTTTTGTCCCATACTGAACACTTTTACTTGATTCTTTGATGTTCAAATTAAGGACCAGCAAGTGCTAATGTACACTGGACTCGTTACACTGGACTCGTACACAAAGACTCTAATCGAAAATTATTGAAGCTGAACCTAAAAAACCATAATTTTCGGTAATTACACGCCAAAGTTTGACAATAATCCACAATTAGCGCCTTTGAAACAAAATGAAACACGACTATTCTTTCATTTTGCTTCAATGTTTACCAGTTTGTTCTACACATCCAACATAAATACTATGAGTCAACTTATGTGGGGAATATCTCGACGAAATAAACGAATGCTAATTATTGACGGACACGATTTCACAAAAAAGCGAACGACAAAAACTACTGAGCACTGGAGATGCGCAAGATACAGTTCACACAAATGCCGCATGCTCGCCGTCACAGCAGCAGATGAACTCGTATCAACAAAAAATGTTAGACCTGGGAAAATTCAGGCAAACCAGATCATGCATCAAATGAAAAAAGAGGCCAGGCAGCAAATTGTACCTGTTAATAGTAGTATAATTGCCACTTGTCTCCAAGAAGTAACAGATGAGAAAGCTGTTCAATTATCCTTGCCCTGTCGTGCAGCAATAAACAGAACTCTTAACCACCAGAAACAGAACTTGGTCCCGTCCTTGCCAATCATTAAAGACAGGCATTTCATAATTCCGACGGAATATTCTGATTTTTGTTTATTCGACAGTGGAGTAATTGATCCTGAGCGAATTTTGATTTTCGGTGATCGAGATAATGTTCATGCCCTCCGAGTTTAAAATTCTCTTTGGCTTTGCAACGGTACGTTCAAAATTTGCCCAATGCAATTTTACCAGCTTTATACTATACACATTCAAATCGGTGAATTTTACCCACCATGCCTTTATGCTCTTCTGCCGAACAAAACTGAACAGACGTATTCAAAATTCCTGAAAGGCATCGCCTGTCTCTGATAACGCGCAACCATCGTGGATCCTTCTAGATTTTGAACGAGCTGCCGTAAACGTTTTACTGAAAACAACTGCGAGCTGAGCTTGGCACTGCGTTTAATACCCGCTCTCAGTTTTGCCCAACTGATTTAGTGGAACAGTCGTTCGAGAGCGTCATTGAGGAGATTGAGCATGTGGTGGACCGATTAGATCTTGAGCAAAGCCTGTCAGATAAAATTCACGAACTTGCCTCACACTTTCATCAGAGAAGTAATATAAAAGGCGAAACAATAGGGCAAAACAGCAGGCAACCGTTATTCCCTATGAGTCTCTGGAACCATTCCCAAGAAGCAGCGGAAGGCTTGATACGAACGACAAACGCCGTTGAAGGTTGGCATCTTGGAGTGACAGCATTACTTCAAGGGAGCCACACAAGCCTCTACACTTTCCTGAATAAGATTCAAATGGACTCAACAAATCAGAAGTTCAACATTTTGAAGGCGATGGGGGGAACGCAGAATCAGGGGCGGAAGAAATATCGGGATATTCATGCCAAAATCTAAAACATTTCTAGTAATTTCAACAAAGACCATGTTGTTGACTATTTATATGCACTAGCTCATTTAACTCTTTCGTAATTTTCACTTAATTGTCGGCATTTTGTTGCATTTTTAATTGATTTTTAAAAAATCACCACTTTTTTAACTTATAGCCATCGTACAGGGTCCAAATTTTGAGAGGTGATAAAGGCCAATACTTTGCAATAATTTTGCTCTTTCCCTCACCCCGCCCCCTATTCTGGGTTACTCAGTATAGGGGGGTTTTGGGGGCGAGGCGGTACTTGCGGTTTTCCGTTTCACCGATTTCAAACTAAAATTTTTTGACTTCTTCAAGTTTTGAACTCTTGACTTCTTGATTAAGAGCGTTGTGCACTATTAACTATGCTATAGGAGCTTACAAGAACTGCAATCAATCTTTTGAAATGTTTACCTCGACATAGAAATTGCATTGAAATTTTGCCGCTTTCATTTTGTTCATGCATGCTTTGAACTCATTTTGATTCAGCACATGTTTTAATGATTTCGCATTTTAATTTAAGCTTAATTGTTCAACAAAAATATCTATCATCTTTATGCCGACATTGTTCTACGAGGATATCAAAGAATCTGGGGCAAGTTTCATTTTTTATTATCTGGGACATGTAGGCATTGACAAATTGTCATCTGGGGCAAGTTGAAATCGGGCAAGTTGGGTTGCGACAAGTTGACTTGGGGCAAAATGACATGTAACCAAATAAAATATCCTATAGAGGATTAAAAATTAATTTATGATATAGATTACCAAAGATTGGTGCATATATTTATATCGCAATTAAAAAGAGATTTAATTCAACTGCCTCAATTACTTCGAGACGCCATATAGAGATGGTGCTAATGGTAAAAGACTCTTCTACGGATTAAATATTATTTTTCAACCTGTTAATGGAGTCATAATTGAGAAAATTTTGACAATGAAACACAACGCAAAGACACATCATTTAACACATAGCACCAATACAATGAACACCGATATGACAGAATTTATCTACGGTAAATCTCAACAAGGCAAAACTCAACTTGCTTATCTTGGACGGACACGAGTTCACTAAAAAGCGAGACACCAAATCTACCACTCACTGGCGTTGTGCAAAATGGCGTTCACATAAATGACTCTAATAACTTGCGACGAAACCATTATTTCGTTCAATCACGAGCACAGCCATGAGTTTAACCCCGATCGCGAAGAAGCAAGGCAGCTAGTTAGTCAGTTGGAAGAAACAGCAAAGTCGCAAATCAATCCTGTAAACAACCAGTTGATAGCAGCTAGCCTCAAGACTGAACAAAAATCCGGCAATTCAGCTTTCACTTCCTTCACGTGCAGCCCTGACAAGAACCCTCAATAGAAACAAAATGCAAGGACCACTCGAAGTGATTTCATCGACCGACCGTCACTTCGAAATTCCCGATAAATATTTACCTGGCTCATTTAGCACTATACTAGATTTCATTGTATCAAATTGTCGGCATAATTTTTTCAAATTTTGTTGCATTTTTAATTGATTTTCCAAAAATCGCAAAGTTTTTTGCTTTATAGCCATCGTAGAGCTACCATTTTGTGGGAGGTGATAGAAGCTAGTATGACAATAATTTTGCCTTTTCCCTCACCCCGCCCCCCTATACCGGTTACCTGGTACAGGGGGGATTTAGGGGTTTTGGGGACAATTTTTATCGATTTCGAACTAAAACTTTTGATCCACCGTGAATCGATCGTTTGATCTTTTGATCAAGAGTCATATTCTTTAACCATATTGCCAAGTGAGCTTAGAAAGTCATATCTTTATGCTTTGATAGTTCAAAAGATTGGTAGAATTAAAACGTGTATTGAAATTTTCACGCTTTGATCTGAATTTGATTTCACGCTCTTTTTCAAAAGTTAGCATTGTATTGATCGGTTTGTTCATTTTCCGCATCTTGGTTTCAATTCCTTTGATTATTCTACTGCGTTATTTTAATTGTTTCGGATAAAAAGGTAAGGGATAAATTGTCATGAAACCGATAAAACTAATCAAATATGCGGGAAGCTCACAAAATGGAACCCACCATCCAGTTAAACCGAGCCAGCGTCTTATTCAAGAACGCGCAACCAGCTTAAAATTATTAATTAGTGTTCGAGTTCAAAACTTAATCTTCTTGATTGCAAATTTTGATTGAGTCATTTTTAACAAAACCTCCAAAATACACAGAAAACCATGCTGCCCAAGTCAAAAATACGTTCTTCGGATAATTATTCGGCTGAGAGGAAGATGAATGTCGAATAATTAAGAGTTGAAAATATTTGGTAATTGACATTTCCTGGTTGCCCAGTTTAGTTAATTATCCCGCCCGGTACTCAGATACTCGAAACTCATTTCCATTCAATCGGTGAAGCTGA